AGAAATCGTATCTTCAACCTATCACAGTAGATTTTCAACGTAAATACGCCAACATAGTTCTAGAACTGGACAAACTTAATAAAGATTTAAACGAATATTTGATGGGGGTTCAAGAATTCTGTCAAGAGGTAGGAACATGGTTTATTAGTCGGCATGGTTGATGGTTGAAACATTTGCATAGAAATGCAGTTTTACATCCTGCTTTTATGCACTAGATTAAATTATGAAGACAGCAGAACTATGAAGTATGCAATGAGAGAAATTTGATAGGAAAAAGGCATCAGCCTTCTCTTTTTCGAGCTTAGATTTATAACTGTACCATGTCAACCCCTCTGACCTGCATCACCGATAGGGGAGACTGGAAGGAAATATCCAATATATATACAGTATGTAATTCCAATATCTGAAGATTCTAGTGATATATTGTATATTGTAGATGGGACCACCTCATGGAGTAACAGTTGTTGACCAACCATCAGAAATAAAACGAAAATGTGATGATGAGGCACAAGAATTAGTCACCAAAATATGTCGGGTTAGTTTTCCTTTTTTCTTTTATATACTAAACTTTACTGATTTAGAATCCTATTGCCTCCTTGTACCTATAACCAGAGCTGTATTCTCAATAACTGAACTGAGATCAAATCCAGATTTTGAGAAATACAGTAATCTCATTGGATTATCAAGCTTAATTTAATATCGATTTAAATCATTGACCAATTAGTTCACTGGAACACTAGAATCATCTCAAGTTAAGTTTTCTAGAATAAGGTCCCATTTCGGTCCAAAGTTGAGTAGAAAGGTATGATGAAAAACTCATTTCATTTAACATTGACTTCATCTTATGTATTCTTCACAATGAAAATGAATGACCAATACGCTCTGGTCTTTTGTCCTGTCCAAAATACTTGATGTTTTACCACGCCAACTTATATCAGACCTCGATAGTGATTAAGTGTGTAGAGCATATCTTGCAATATATTGATGAAATGTTTAGTTACTACTAAAACAAGCAGTAAAATATTAACAGTGTCTATGAAACATGTAATTGCCAGTGTCTGTTAAGTTGCCTTTCATTTTATGAAATATTTTTGTGTATTGCAGGGAATGTTCAGCAATAAGAAAACAGCTAAAAATGAAAGTGTTTTAAGTCTAGTGTCTAATTTAACATCACTCATGTTACAGATCAGAGTAAGTTACTTTTACCCCCTTCCTCTCTGTGGATATTGAATCGTAAACAAACTCAATATCAAATTTATATTTTAAATAGTGATAAAGGGTAATGACTCTGAGATATATGAATATTAAGATGACTATGTCCCAACCTTTAAAGTAGGTAATTAGCTTGTGGACTAAACTTTTTTCTTTATGCAACCAATCAAGTAAGGGTCTAACCAATCCCATCTTGTTTCTTCGTAGGAATAACCTTTGTCCTAACCTGATGACATTGGCACAAAAAGACATGATAAACTAGTCCAAACTAGCTCTTCCAAATACACCTGTCTGTTCTTTTGTTGGATTAACACAATCCAAGCAGTCCTTTCTCTTCTCCTACCCTTATTATATCTAATATCTAAACTTTCATTTACTTTCAGACGTTTACTCAGAATGATTTCAATTCGTTTGAGTTTAAATCTCTACAAGATACACTAGCAGAAATTAAATCAGGCATGAATTCCAATAATATCAAGTGAGTTATCTTTTCTTGGTTTATCTGCTTCTGTCTAGTTTTATTAAGGTTATTGTGTTTGTCAAAATCTTCATTTAGACTTGGCTTATTTTATGGGTTTGATGATCACTAAAACTGATCTTTAAATTTAGTTTAAAGAAACAGCTTGATTGACTGAAATAAAGTTTAAACAAACAGTTTTATTGACTGGAATAAAGTAAAAAATTTCAATCAAATAAGAGGTAGTATATCTTTAAACCAGTAATTTTGATTATCTATAATAATTTAAGCGTTTTGTCTATTTTCAGCTCATTTCAAAACAATGTTGAAATTCATATTAATCATATACAGAGCGGTTTAACACAGATGGGAAATCTTAGTGCTTTTTCTAATTCCTTGGCAGAGTGAAGGCTAAATCTGAAATATAACTGAATATAAGTCGATGAAAGGAAAGTGCTTTGAGTGTAATCACATATTTCTTAATGATAAATGGTCCATCATTTACGTTAGCAAAATAGGATGGTGTGTAACGGTGACCAATATTACATCCAAATGTGAATTCGCTATCCCATAATTTTAATCTTTATCATGCATCAAAAGCAAGGAACAAAAATGTGCTTTTTTAAACGACATGATAGCTGTGACAGATTGATTAATTTATCATTTGTGATCTCCCCTAATGTGAGGTATTGTGAATTCAAAAGAGCATAAAGCAGATCACAAAAACGCCTTTTTAAATTTTTAACTTAAGTGTATTTGAGACACAGCTGTGTAGTTAAAGAGAGCGTCAAGAAAAACTTTCTTCTGTGCTTGAAATATTTGTTGATAAACTGTTTAGTTAGTGGTGATTTTGTTGTTTGAGGGTGAAGAATGACGTACACCTTTGTTAAGTTAATTGTAAATGGAAGAATTGTAGATATATTATAGTCAAGCAAGGCTATTTGTGCAAATCAGAATATGCTTCTGTAAATAAGCCAAGACAAGTTTATTGATTTCTGTATAGAAAAAATATAGACTAAATGAAACCAGGGTCAAGTCAAGGTATATTAATATCTAGGGCCATTATTCAGAATATAAACACAAGCAGTCCAAATTTATTCTACACCCAAATAAAGTGGATTGGTCATGTTTATATTATAAATTGAACCAGGATGTACAAAAAGATTTTTTTTTTTTTTTAGAGTATATGATAATTATCTCTGTGCCTAATATCTTGCTAATTGTAAATGTGTACCATAATGAAATAAAATAATTCATATAGGAGAGTTTATTTAGAGAAGGGGAAGTGCTTTTTCATGCACTGTCAGTGAAAGGTGCATATCAGGTTTTCATAGATTTTCAAGAACATTTATAGCTTCTATTTGAACCGTTCTGATTTTCTGTCAACATCACTGGTTTTTCAGGACAGTCTTCACATATAAAGGATATTAAACATTGGTGATACTAGTTCCTGGTAATGTTGGAAGTTTTTTTGTCCAAACTATCAGCTTGACATTGTGCATTGATTTAGCAACTGAATTATCATTCAATTTAGTTATGTCTCTAAAACAGTTCCCTGTCTGGTAAATTTTGATGATAAAATGAAATTCCATGTTCCCAGGATGAAACCAGAAAACCCAGGATTAAATCAGAAAACCTGGGATTAAATCAGAAAACCCGGGATTAAATCAGAAAACCCAGGATTAAATCAGAAAACCCAGGATTAAATAAAAAAATTAACGTCAGAGTAAACTTTCTACGTTTATAAAAAAAACTTGACTACATTTTGTATTAATAGAAATATATATACAATATGAATACGAAAATACACCAGGTTGTCAGATCCAGATTTCATACAAACAAACTAGAATAGAAATACTCTACTGTCATTGGTTGATCAGTTGTAACTAACCAATAGATAGTCTGCATTTCTCTCCTGCCATATCAATCTAAGATTAGTTTGTGATGCATACTCCATATGAATTTTTTTACATCCAACATTTTTAGCTCTTATTGAGCAACTGAAACTAAGGCATGCTCCAGAAATCTTGAACTTGGTTACTACAATCCAAACATCCAATCAAAACTGAGTATTTTTCTTCAAGTTTGACAATTGAAACCTGGACACTAACTAGATGAAAAAGTTAAGAAATATAGGTTACCATAGTTATCTATATAAATATACTGAGCATTACATTAAACAAGTCACAAGATAACTGTCTTTATTTTAATAACTCTGAATTAGAGGACAAACCTGCCAAAACTACAAAATCATAACCATCAATTCAATCATATAATTCAGGCATTTTGTCAGAAATGGTGCTTTTTTTAAATGCATTATGTTTCATTTGTCTAAAACTCACTTTATGGCAGCCTAATTCTGTAAAAATATCGAACTATGCCACTTATGAAGTTCTCATCCTTCATATATTTGGCAGATTTGGCTCTATTTCAGAGAAACTTACATATCAATACAGTCAACAGTTTTATGGCATTTTGTAGAAAAAACAGAAAATGCATTCTACAAACTTTCGTTAAAAATATTGTTAAAATATCTGCAGATTTTCAACCATTCCCTTCAAAAATAACTAAAATACATAATACATAGCATAACAGACTTTGTAATTTTTGCGTGAATGGTTGATTATATAGTTGGTCAAAGATAACGCTGTACATTTGGGAACATTAGTTTTGTTATCCAATCAGATTACTGTATTTCTTACACCTGTTTTTTTTACAAGATAAATTCTAGAGAATAAAGAGTTATCCTTAAAATATTCCCCAGTGAGCAACATTTTTTTGACTGACTATAAATTTACAGGATATTTGAAGATAAAAAATACACATCTAAATATTAGCAATGATACAGGTAGGTATTAAATATTATATATAACATTGGTTGTCATTTTATAATAAAATAGCTTCCGATTCACTGAAATGATCTTCATCTGATTAGTTGGGATAAAACTATCACTAAATATCAACAGAGCCTATAAAAACTTTATATAGGCTCTGATATCAACCACTTGGATTATATATTCCTAAAATATGGATTTTATTTTGTGAAGTTTTAAGTGAATAGGTCCCCATGATGATAAAATCCAGACCACAAAATATCACTGATGCCATTTTTATTAATACAGAAAATATTCTTATGGACCAAATACAAAGGGAGGTAATTACATTCTATGTATTTTTTCTAAAAGACTGTTGTCTAATTTCATAAAGTTTCATAGTCTAAGAATAATTTAGTTCAGACTGATCATAATAACAATTGTTGTACTCTTGAGTTCAAACAGGTATAACAGTGTAAATTGTTTTCACTCTGTTTAAATATGAAATAAACACAGAGTCAGGTATAGGATTAACATAAAGTAAGAAATAGAAGAAGTCAATACACTAAGTACATATTCTGACAAAATACAGACTGGAATTGTTTCTTATATTTTCTACTGTATCAATAATCCCACCCCAGACACTGAACCTAGTCTATTCCCACATGAAGGTTGAAGATATCAACTATTACACTTAGATATTCTAAGATGAAAGTTTGGAAGCCAAATTACGATAATATGAAATGGCGGCCCTGCACTTTGCTATAAAAGTTTAAAAAACAAAAGCTACATGAAAGTCTACAAATATATTATACACAACAAGTTAAAAAAAACAAGAAAAAATTTAAATTTGTCATCTAAAATTTATAAAAAACTTTTGTTCTAGAGAAATTTGAAATAAATCTCAAAAAAATTATTGCCTAAAAAATACCAGCATGAGTTTGATCATTGAAATAAATCAAAATAAAAAATTATGATTCGTCTGAAATCATTGATTTTAGAATAGAAAACAGTTGTCTAATTTAGTAGGAAAAATGAAGCAAGCAATAAGGATGGTAATTGACAATGAAAACGATAGAAAAATGATACAAAATAGAGTTTTCTTTATCAAAAAATCTTTCCAAATTCACATTTCTTATTTGTTATAAAAAAAAAAAAAAAAAAAAATTACAGTTTCTTAAAGTGTAGTAAAATTTCTTCTTTTCTTTAAGCAGTTGATGACAAAACAAAAATTATTCACACTAAGTTCTGTTACTTCATGCACTGAAAAAAAAGAAGAAAATATTTCAATGAAATTGGCAAAGAACATCAATTAACATAGCATATTTTGAAAAATTTTTATCATAGGGTTAAAACAGGGGCCTAGTATTTGAGTAATCTGATTGGCCAATACCTAGGATAAATTATAACTTCAGCATTCTAAGCCAATCAGATAACTTAATTTCTTAAAATTTTTGGTTTAAATTTAGTTAAGAAATTGTAAAACAGGCCCCTGGATCCAAAAATCAAAAAATCTATTGCAATACCAAATCCTGGATGGATTTTTTAGAATAATTATTTTCTGTAGCCCACAAATTCCAATGTACACATTGATGATTTGGGATCATCCCTATTGAATC